CTGTTCTAACGTGCCCTTCATGTCTAACATCCAGCATCACTTCACACACGAAGGGCTATAAGGAGTCAAATGAGGTACAAGAAAAATGGTTTTATTATTAGACGCTGGAAAAGACAGACAACTGCCAGGTGTGACCTGACCTTTAAATATATTGCTCAGATAAAGTCTCTCTGAAATGTGAGGATGAGGTTCAATTACTGCAGTAAGTCTATTATCACCTGGCTACAGTGGTCTATCCAAACCCTATTGTGGAAAACGATTAGCCAGAGATGCCCTTACTCCTTGTAAAATATTCCACCATGTGTGGATTCAGTAGCAACTTTATTAAACTTTATTGGGGCAAACAAACAGATTTTGCCATACACTTTCTTTTTTCCCCATGTTTGATCATGTGTTCTTTGCTAGTAGCAGAGAAATCTGGGCAGAGATTCTGGTACTTCCACGTCTGTTTTTTACCTAACAAAATCCCATTAGTTTTTATAACAATCTCAGCCTTAAATACAGGGGTATGAATGAATCTCAGAGATCAATCATAAACATGGAGACAGGAAAAAGTTGAATTTCCACACACAAACAGAGAATTTAAGTCACACAGCACTATTAAACTCAAAAACAAATACACGAAAAGGCAATAGTTCAGATGTTTTTACCAAAGAAACACATTGACTGTAGGATTAAAAAAACTGATTAATGATGAGTTTGATAGCTTTGTGTCTGAATCAGTCAGAGAAGCTATTCTATGTAGTTACATACACCCCCATTGGGAATGTTACTTCTTAGAGCACTGGACTGGATATCTTTGACCAAGCTACCTCCCTGTGCTAGCTTATTCTATATCATTCATTTTTCACCCCAACAGAGGAGCAGTATAACATACATACCTTTTATAACTGCTATGAAGTTCAGTCAGTTAGAATTCAGTTAGAATGTAGCGGACAGGTATTTCACTAAGTTCCTGAAGACACACAAATTCTGGGTGTTAAGGTCTGTTTTCTGCCTAAGCTAGCACCTTGCTATTAGAACTAGAAGTCTCACGGAGTGTGAAGTGGTCATATCCAGGGCAGGAAATCCCACTGGCAGACATCAACTAGTGAGATAAGACTTTGTTTTTGATTAGTGCTGCAGGTCTGAAAATCCTTCGGGAATGAGACACCAGATGCAAAAGAGAATCTGACTAGTGAAAGGCATGTTTGTATATGGATGTAAAGGCTATAAATAACATAACATGAATGTTTCTCTCTTTTACTTTAAAGAAGGATGAAACTGTATCTGTGCACATACAGAGTGAGAAAGAATGGTGCATTGGTTAGGAGAGTAGATGGGACTGGTAAGGCCTGTGTTCAGGTCCTTCAGCCACCACAGGCTTTCTGTGTGAGCTTGGGCAGATCACATAGTCTTTACCCCTGTACAATGTCAAGTGAGGGCAGGGTGGCACTTTAGGCTAGAAACAGACGTCATCAAATTAAGCAGATCAGCTGTGCCAGGATATGTCCCAGCACAGCGGATCTGCTCCACTGGGCAAAACATAGTTGTCCCGCCTATTGATCCTGTGAGACAACGGATGATGTGTTGCCTGCTTACAGAGATGCACCAGAGAGGTTCCCCCTGGTGTGTCTCTGTAGACAGAGAAACCTCAGCTTTTCCCTGCTCACAGAGACGTGTCACAGAGATTCCCTGGCGTGTGTCGATCTAAGCAGGGAAAGCCAGGCAGGCAGTCCCAGGGAGCAGCATGATTGGGCCCCTCAAGCCTTGGGATCACCTGCCCAAGATGGCTGGAGAGAATGGGCAGCTCTGGTGGGAAGGGCTGCCTGTACTCTTGCACCATAAAGCAAACAGATGTCCACTGCTAAGCAGAGGCATAAATTGTTACCACCTATGTTAAAGCCACAAATTTTGGCCATTTGTGGCACAAGGGGCATGGGCATCTGTTTCCTTGGCCTTTGTGCTGCCATAAACATTCTTCTGTTTCCACCCTTACAAACTGACCAGTTCAGAGAGGCATGAGCTTTCGTAGGC